ACTATTTTACAATTAAATGAAATATTTACAATGTGCGGTCGAAGTTGGGCAAACTGCGGCTGCGATAGGGTCATGTGGCTTAAGTAAAGCTGCGGTACATGACACCCTGGACAAACATCATTTCTCTTAAATACAATACAACTCTATCACTTTGATTGCGATATGTATTAAATATGCATTTTATACAAATTCAAGTACATGTGTCATAATATGATTTGTTTTATCAAGATTCAATTCATATCCAAGTTTGATACACGTTTTTATCTCATCCCAATTGTATTGTGAATTAACTCCTATTTTTCAACTATAAATAGTGTGCAATTATCCCACAATTCATCACCAAAGAAATTTTACACAACTTTCATATGAAGCAGCTATAAATTTCTAGTATATTTTTTATCAAAAGTTTGTTTGATCAATCAGGGTAAGATACGTTTTGTGCAAGTAGTATGTTTCCGTATATTTTTATGTTCAATAATTTATGCATGAATTGCCGTGGACTTTCGGGTTCGACCTAACGGAATGTGAACTCTTTTGGGTTCTTTACAATGAACTGTGAAATCTTTCGGGAATTCAAAATGAGAAATGATGGGTATTTCGTTGGGTCACTTATATACTCCATAAAGAGAAATATGGTATAAATTGGCTATGTTATTTTTATATAATTGCGTAAGAAAAATGCACGTATCTTATTGGGTATTTTTAAAATACTCACTCCTACAAATTTTTTACAGGTTAGATTGAGTCGATTGGACCTGTGGCAGGATGTCGCAGCGAACTGCTAAGGGATTTCAACATACAAAAATATTAAGTTTTACTACCTTTAAATTTAGTAGTTTGTTTTGTTCAATAACATTAATATTGAATTTATTAGTTGAGATCGTTTAAATATTTTTTTTAAGACAATTTTATGATTCAAATTTAAATTTATGGATGTTCCAATATTTTGTTTATTAAAGAATTTTATCGTTACGTATTTTAAGTAAATAAAAGTAAATGAAATTAATTTTTGGTAACATCTCAAGATGTATGAAATTTTGGTACGTTTCAAAACAGGAGCAAATTAGCAAGCCAGGATCAAAGAACAGTCAAGTACATTACAAGGAGACCATTGATTCCATTCTTTGATGTTCTTGTACAAACCCACAAATGAAGATCAATAAATAGTGTAGTTCCACAAGTAACAGCAGTACAGGAATATGTACCTGATATACTCGGTCGAACTATTGATCTACTTAGTTTCTCATATACAAAGAATATATATGTGATATATGCTAGTATGTTATATTCGAAACAGGAAGAGCTGTGTCATAGGACATGACACCCACCAAAGCCTAACGAAAATGTACATGGTGTCTTTCCATTTGCTGCAGGATGACATAACAGATGCACCTCCTAGCTCCCTTCAGAAACCTGTGTGCATTATCCAATGATACATTATGATCCGAGAAATAGGAATTGGTAATGCTATTCATATTTCCTAATATAAGAGAATACATACAAGAACGATACTTTACTAGTCATGCGACTCCCACAACCCAACTCGAGATGGCGAGGGGGCAGGGAAGAGTAGGGTCGGTAATGGAAAGTCTATAAAGTATTGATAGTTTTTATGTGGTGCAGTTGGGAAAATTAACATTTGCAGACCAGTAACTACATTAGCTGTAATTGAAAGTAATGGACGGAAAATAGCTCCTAAACTAGGTCCAACAGTATGCATGCGAGAAATGATCAACCAGAATGCAGGTGAAACCAGTTAAGAATGTGAAGAATACCTTCGGGTAGCAACTTTGTCGGGCAATTGTTTGGTTGCGTGTATTTACAATGACTTCGCACCATATTTTTGCCTGCACAAAATCACAAATAGGATTATGAGGAATTGATAAATTTGATATTTGATCTGAATAGTAATATTCAGCTTAAAGGTCATAATATACATAGCATAGAACCTAATGCTAAAGGAGGTTTACACAGCCATCTTTCTTTTCTACCTAGTAAGTAATAAATCCATGTTTATTGAAAAGATTATAATATTTAGGTGCTTCAGTAAATAATTTAAACCAATGTATCAGAGAAGAAATGATGAAAGAAAGAAAGCAAAAACCGAAACATCTCATCTCTGAAGACAAAGGTAAGGAGACTTTGTTAACTCCACATCAGAATAGGCAGAATGTTGTCTTACACAGAGTATCAGTTAAATGACTCCAAAAACTAAAAAGTGGTCGTTAAGTTTTTCCACATACTTTGTAAAACTTAATTAACCATCTGATTTATCACCTTAACATGCATTTACAAAGTTAAACCGACTTAAAGAAGTTCAAGTTCCTAACAAAAACAAAGAACGGTTACGGCATTGACAGCAAAGTAGTCACCCATCTAAAATAAAAAAACTCTCTAAATTTCAAGGTTGGTCCTACCAATTATGCTCTTTTGTCAAGCTCATCAACATTTTATCCCAACTACGGCAAAATGATTAGTTCTTTAAGATTCCAAAAAATACAAACTTGATTTCATTTCAATTAAATCAAGCACGTCCGTAACATGAAATTGTATACTCATCTGCTTTTACAATACAAGTCAACTTGTAATCAATAATCTTTATATATTGCCTAGCTAAGCTTTTAAGTATGTGGGTCTTACGGAATGGGTGTTTAAAAGTAGATAAAAGTTGTGGGCCCTGAAAAATATGTGGTTAAAAAATGATGTTTCACCAGCTTATAAGCACTTAAAAGCTTTGTCAAACATTTACGAAATCTTTAACTTGTTAGCCACAATGTCCTTCATATGTATCCATGTACATTTTTAAAAATGAATCTGCAAGAATGACTACTTAATAATCTAGCTCGTCCCAATTATATTCGTCTACAAACTTGACTTCAGGCTGATCGTAGTCAGTGCACAAGAAAAAACCAAATTCACTAATTAGGGCTACTCTACATTCAAGACCATATCTAGCAATAACTATCTCGAGGATTTCATATGTGCTACGCCGAATTAACCAAGAACTCCAACATGAATAAACTGCAATTCCCCCCAAACAACTTCAACATTCATTAAAGCACTTAACATAAACAAATTAAAGAAGTGATTAGAAACCTCCAATTCATATTTCATTTGATCTATATTATTTGATCCATTTATACTTCACGTGTCCAACTAAAACCATCACGTACACATACGACAAGTGTTTCACTATTCTCTGAATTTTATGAATATTGCAAAAATATTATCTCCACTCAATATTAATCCCCAATATAACTTGTGACCTGAAGAGCAACATCTAATACAATTCACACAGTTTGTATGACATTCTTAAACTTTTGGCCCTTGGCCATCTAAATCATCAAATCTATACAGACACAAGTTCTGCATACGTACTACTGTTGGAAATCCTTAACCATCTATCTTAATATTTAATAATATGTCTCGATGCTATATTCATTGATATCCTATTCTCTTCAAAGCAAAATATTTGTACAATACGACTATTAAGAAATGACTATGGTAGCCAAAATCAGAACTTGCCAACTTAGAACTGCATTTCACTCCTGACTACATTAGTAACTATTTTTTATGGTAAACTTTACATAGAAGATCGTTTGTGCCTTTACGACCTTTCTATTAAAAATCATCGCAAATTTTATTCTTCCATTGCAGTCACATATTGTTTCAATATTCCAAAACCTCAATCCTGAATTCTCATAGTAGTGCAATCTAACCTCTGAAGTCAAAATCTGCCACCTATTCTTGAAAATGAAATTTCACAAAAAACACCTCTATAATTACGAAATTTACATGAATTTTTACTTGGCCCTAGCCATTAATAATAGATGACTATATTGCTATTTTAAAAGGGCTCATAACATATTGACTTCAATCTGTGCTAAATAACAACTCAGAAAACAGCAATATTTTACCTTATGTACTTAATTAGGAAACAAGATTTACCTTTAGAGGTAGGTCGAAAAAGAAAACACCGATCTTCCCACTAATCTGCGACGTCGTATCAAACGGGATCGCACCCTTAGCCAAATCCTCCAGCAACAGAATCACATCGCTCAATATCTCCACTCCGTCGAGAACGAGCGTGGTGTTGATGTACGACGTTCCACGGGCCTTGATGTGGCCACCATCCGACACAGCAGATCCCAATCGCTTCCCCCGGTAGTCAATCGCAACGAGTAAGGAATCATAGTCAATAGAGTAGAAGTCTCTGTTCCGGACCTTAATGGTGCTGTCTAGGGTGATGTCGAGTGAGATTTTGGGGCGGGTATGAAAGTGGAGGCGATCGAGGCGGAGGCGGACGATAGAGAGGCCCGGGTCGGAGGGCCAGAGGAGGTAGGCGGCGGCGGCGAGGAAGGGCAATACAGTGGCAAAGCAGATTAGACAGCGACGACAGGATTTACTGAGAAGACGGCGGGTGTGCGGTGGTTGGTAGGTCAATACGACGACGTATGGCGGTTCTTGGTGTTGGGATTGTGACTGAGGGTCAGGTATGAGAGGCTGGTGAAACGACGACGTATCAGAATGCTTTGTTGAATACATTTTTGGTTGGCAAACTGACGATTGGAAATTTGGAAGGGACTTTTCCACGGGGTCCAGGAGATATAGGAAGGAGAGAGGAAGGTGAGGTAAGTCCGGTTCCTTCTCTGCAATTCTGTCAAAGTTTGAACTAAAACCGTATTAACACTTTCATAATTTGTGGATATATTGCTATCTCTATTTTTATTTGATATACCGGACTTTAATTACAGTTAAACTCTTTAATCTTTGCAATGTAGCAATTATTTTTTTCTTCGAATTCTTATTTTCAACACTTCATTAATTAGTACGTCTCGTCTTTAATGTTGATTTATATCAAAATATTTTATTTTCATATTTGAAATGAGGGAAAAATACTTTCGCACTTTTTATTAATTTATTGTTTTAAAATATGATGGAAAAATAAATTGTTTTATTGTTGTGTTTTTTATATCGAAAGTATACGATATCGTAACAAACAATATAGTTGACATTTAAGTCCTGTTATCATTCACACGAGCACTATACTTTGGGATTTAATCTAATTTTTCTAACTCCTATTTAAAAAAGTAAGTAAATAATTATGATGGTTGTGATTATTTTTCCTAACTACTTTTAACTAATTAAAAATATTGTATACAACGGATNACTACTTTTAACTAATTAAAAATATTGTATACAACGGATAATTGAAAATTCAAATATGTGATAAATGTTAGGGCATAACAATTTTTTCTATGATCACCTTAATTTTTAATTCAAAATTCATAACATAATGTAGTGTTCGATCGAATTCGTCTATTATATTCAATTTGCCATTCTCGAGTTCTCATTGAACCTATTTAACTAATTAAATTTCATATCGTCATATAAATCAACTTTAGTTAAACGAAACATTAGTTCTAAAAATTCATATTATGATCGCAATAATTAGTACATGTATCTCTACACTTTATACTAATTTACCGAATTTTATTATATGGTTTAAATCTCAAACTCACCCCTCGATTCGTAAGAGACTCACATAATCATCAAATTATTGGTCAGATAATTTAATACATTAAACTCGTAATCAAATCATCACATATATAAATAAATCACATAAATTTAGAATATAAAAATAAAGGATCACAAGTCGACTACATTGTTTTCCCTAATATAAAAATTAGTTATCTATACTGTAAAAATAAAAAAGCGCAAAAATAAAAAGATATCACCAAAAATTAACGAAATGTGAAATTTTTTGTGTATGTCGTCTCCTTTTTTTTTTTCTTTCTCTTTTCTTTCTGTTGCAACCGTTTTTTTCTCTCCTCTTTCTTTTTTCTTTTTTCCTTCTCTCCCTTTTCTCTGCGTCCCTTTCTGTTTTCTCCTTTTTTTCTTGCGCGTCTCTGTTCTCTTCTTTGCCTCCGTCTGTCTGTGTGTGTGTATCAATTAAAATTTTCAATGTAAGTTCATTAAGGCCCATTTAACTCTAACCCATTTAGAGCATGTTTGGCTAAACTTAAAATCCAATTAAAATTGAAAATATAGTCATTATTGGGTCTCACCCGTCTAATAAAAGTCAACAATAACGGTCAATTTTTCAATTTTAATCTCTACCGAACACGCCATTGATGTACTATTTCTCTCCATGGCTTCATCTTTGGATTTTGTTATTTTTCGCCTCGTTTGCATTCTTTTCTTCAATTCTTCATTAAACATAAAATTTTACCTACAAAATATAATATAGCCCCTATTTGAACCACATTATTTTTCTTATTCTCATTCTTCTACTCACTTTCAACCGCACATTTTTCAATAAAATAATATTTTTCATCACATTAATATTTTTTCCTTCTTTTTCAACCACATATTCTCCTTCACATCAACAGTAAAAATGCATTCTTACTATCAAAATATGCACCAAATAAGGGCATAACATAAATTAGGTGAAATTTTATCCAAAAGACAATAAAATATCATAATTTAGGATTTCGAGTAAGTGTAGAAACTACACTTATCATTTAGCTATATCAACAGACTTTTAGAAATAAAATTGTTATTAAATACAAAATGTGTTAACCAATGAAAAGTTTAAGAAAAGTGATATGAAAAATTATTAGAGGTATAAGTACTATAATTAGCATGGATTAAGAATTTTAAGTACAATTAAAATGTGGTACAAGAAATAAAACTTGTGGTTTGAATATTATTATCCTTCATAATTTAAATTGCACTTAAAATGAGCCATTATTTAAGAAAACAATATTTTGAATAGTGATTTTTAGGAGAACGTGTAGTTAAAAAGTAAGGAAAAATTGAATTTAAGCACATAATAATTTATTGTGTAAATATATGATTGAAAAAAATCTATGTAGAAAAAAAGAATATTCTAATAATGACTATCAAACAGGTGCTTAATAAGTTATAGAAGTGGAGATTTGCTTAAAAAGTCTAGTCAATAATAATATTTAGCCTCTGTTTGGATTTCATTAAGATTTTAATAATTTTTTTTCCTTTTTCATTTTAATAACACATTCTCCAATCAAATGATATTATACATAAATTCAATTTTTTTAACCACGCATTTCTACCATAAATAAAGGAGGCAGTTTTCCTTTACTGTTCCTAAGCCGTTAGCCGACCCGACCTGATATGAATGTAAAATGCATAGTTTTTCCTTTTTATTTTATGTACTCGTATGATTAATTAGTGTCAAAATATACTCATTACGTTCATATTTTGATTTAGGTGACAATTCTATGGATATAACGTAATTTCGAAGAAATAGGTAAAAATAATCAAAGGGAAATGAAAGTTCAAGAAC